AGAAGCTCATAACCCCTGCTTGTCTAACTTCTTCAATGACCTTAAATTGATCTGTAGACCCTTATCCTAGAGCTTCAAGAAAGCAGCTTAATCAGGGATTACAATATTCATGTTTCACGTCATTCCAGGAATGATCTTTGCTTCTCATTCCACTGTGTTCTCACTGCAGGGAACCACTGTAGATTCCTCCCACACCACTAATGTCAATTCTGGAAATGAATTTTATGAAAATTATTCAACAGAAGCAAAAAACTACATGTTTGAAGACGTTCATGGTGCTTACAAATTTGAAATGATATAGCACATAGAAGATACAAAATATTAGAGGACTAATTAAACAAGGTACAGGAAGTGCATGTGGTATATTACATAACCATTAGAAATGATAATAAGAATGCCTTTGCCACATAGTGGAAGATATTTCTTATAGTAAACAGAAAAGGTAGAATATAAATCAGTGTGTACCTTTGGCAATCAGTTGGCATGCATATTGAAGGCTGTTTGCAAAGAAGATAATTATGTTAGAATAATGGGATACAGGTGCCAGGCAAGGTGGCTCACACCTATAATCCAGCACATTGGGAAGCCAAGGCAAAAGGATCGCTTGAGGCCAAAAGCTAGAGAACAGCCTGGCCCATATAGCAAGAAGATCTGTCTCTACAAAAAGTAGGTGGGATTGGTGGTGCATGCATGTAGTCCTAGCTACTCAGGAAGCTGAGGCGGGAGGATTGCTTGAGCCCAGGAGTTTGAGGCTGCAGTGAGCTGTGATTGTGCTGCTGAACTCCAGCCTGGATGGTAGAGAGAGTTCCTGTCTCAAACCAAAGAAAAGAATGGCGGAGTGTAGGTAATTATATTGTCTTACAATATTCGTGTTAAAGCTGGATGTAATTTTCAAGCACACTAAGAGAAGGAAAAAAAATCCTGCCTTAGAATATTATAGCAACATCTCATGATCATTATATTGATGAATATATATGAATATTATAGTCACATCTCATTTTCCTCATTACACTCAACTTGTTCTCCAAGTGAGGTGTGGGATCTTCAGGTGTCTGAATGACCTTGGAATTCTACTCAACACACTGATTCCTGGGCTTCGCCCCACCTAGAACCAGAATCCTTTGGGGCACCATCCAAAAATCAGCAGCTCAGCCAAGCTTTTCAGTGATTCTAACACATGTTCATGTTTGAGAACCACTGTTCTAGAAGTTCTCAGAATCAAATTGTAAACAGATGACAAGAGGCAGAAATTGATTTTCTCTCATGAGAAGCAGCCAATTCTCTGCAAATTAACTTACTTGGGAGTCATTTCCATCAGTTCTTTGAATTTGCCAATATGCCAAAATCTTGTTTTGAAACAATGATTTTCTGAAACACATTCATTGACTATGTTCTCCATGAACATCTGATTGTGTTCTGCCTGAATGTGTCAGTAACTATGCATTAGGAATACAGTCTTATTTGAGTCATTATATTCTTCATGAATATATTTCTTACACATATATTAATAAGAAAAAGAAAATATTTTAATGAAATGACACATTAAACATATATTCAAAAGAACATATGTCAACATCCAATTGGGTCTGAAACTGGCCACCCATTTCGTCAAGGAGAGTAGCTCTTACCAGTCTTTCAAAGATGTTGTGGAAAAGGGAGGACAATGATTTGTAGTTTAATTGGAGAAGTAGGGACAAACCACATTTTTAGAGGAAGTCCCTGCATGTCTTGCTTTGCCTCACCTAGAGGTGGGAGCTCCCCACGAAGAACCTTCACTGGGGAACCCTCCTCTGTGATTCTGCCATAACTCTGTTGCTTATGGAGATTCATACATGACCACTACTTTGGTGAGCAGCTAGCAAAAGAGACCCCAAAAAGAGATTGTGCCCACACCAGCAGCCACTGACAGTCTTAGGCAATTACTGCCAATGTCAGGTACCATTTATTGAGTGCTTTCCATGTAAAAGTCAGTGTATTCTTCAATTGCCTTGTACTATCTCATTTAATTATCACAACAATCTGTCAGGTAGCACCTGCTATGATTGCCAGCTTATAGTTGGGGAAATTGAGACCTAGAGATGTAAATTTCTTGCTTGAGTCCTCAGGATCACATGCGGTTGACTTGGGATTTGAAACCAAGCATCCTGGCCCTAGAGCTCCTTCCTCCTTTGGTTCGCAAGAAACATTCGAAGTTTTATTGCCTGAAACCCATCTGCTGCTAGTGTGGTCTCGAGGCTGAATGTTTAAGGAGAACATGAGGTACTAAAGGAAGAGATAGTCTCCTAGATGGCCTGTTAGAAGTTTGCTGCAGATGACTCAACTGGACCGAAGGGATTTAAGTGGACTCTGGGTCTTGGGACCAAGAGCAGATGAAAGCCAAGGATTCTCTGCTGAATTAAAAAAAATAATCAATCAACGATACAGGTCCTGAGAACTCCTCTGAGTGTCGGACCCTGAGGGAGATGGAAAGCTTCATGCTTATGCTTTCCTTGTAAGGTTGCCAGAGAATATATAGGCTCTAGGCTCCCCAGTTAAATTCGAGTTTCAGATAAACAATTCTTAATATAAATAGGTTCCAAATATTACATGGCATAGACTAACACCAATTTTTGTTGTTATCTATTTGAAATTCAAGTTTAACTGGATTTCTATTTGCTAAATCTGGCAACCCAATTTCTTTGGGAAGACAGCTCATAGCCCAGGCAGCGTGTTCATAAGGGCAGAGTAAGAAGTAAGATAGTGAGGCCTTTCGAGAAGGAGAAGCTCTGGATTTGAATCCAAGGAGGTAACACGATCTCCTGAGTAACAGACTCTGGAAGGGGCCTTGTGATAGGAAGGCTTCCTGTCAGGGCTGCTTCCTAAGGATGGTGGGAAGGATCTGGAAGGGTAGAGAGGGTGGAAGGCTCAAGGCACATGTGGGACCAGCAAGCAGACAATGAAATATCTCGAGGAGACTTCATGCAAGGGAGGACCAGAGCGGGAAGATAAGTCTGGGGAGAGTCTCAAATGTTCTGCTAGAGAACATGGACAATGTCCTTTGGACAAGGATGAGGGGCTAATTCTGGCAGGATTTTAGGAAGGTGAATCTGGCGATGGCACATAAGACTGGCAGGAAGAGTGCATGAGTGAGAGGTGTGGGGAACTGAGGGTGAGGGGTGAGGGGCGGCGGCAGTGGGAGAGGAAAGTGACCAAGAGGACATTCTAAAAAGGCATGGTCTCATCTTGGGAGAGGACAGGTGGCCTACAGTGCCTGTCTCCTCTCAAGTGGGAGACCTGGGCCCTGCTGGCCTTGAGGAGGAGCAGGCAACCTTGGGTACAGAGTCTCAGAGGGAAGATTCTCACGTGAGGAGCTCCCTGGGAAGTCTGGGCCACAGGAAGGCAGAGAGTGCCACATCTCATTCAATTCCACTCCCTCCCTGAATACACACACACGCGCACACACACACACACCGCACTCTGTGCTTATTAGGTTTATGTAGATTTCCATAAAAAGTGACCTCCTGTTTTAACTTCAGATAGTATTATGAAGGATACAATTTTCGCCTTACATTCTGTTGTTTACTTCCCTTGGAGCCAGTCTTTTGAAGCTTTCATTCTATTGCCAAAGCTGTTACCAGCTTAGCGAGTGACCCTTCTTCCCTGGGTCCTTTCACAGCTGGGACAACTCCTATTTCTGGTAAAACATTTTGAGATCCTCTAAAGAAAAGCACCTGGGCAACACAGGCAATTACTGCTATGTGGCCAGCTCATCCCTCACCCTGGCCCTGGCCCTGGCATCGAGCCAATCCTGAAAAGCCTGCTCAGCTGTTAAAGGTTTTCCCAGCAGAGCCACCTGGGCAAGAAAGGAGCAGCCCAGACAGGTTGGAAATGGAAACAGTCCCAGCCCTTTCCTGGGACTGGGTGGGACTGGACAGACCCACAGGGGCAGGGCAGGAGGTGGAGTCTCCTCCAGCCAGGGCTGGCCCTGGATACTCTGGCTTGATCTGATCTTCTCTCTGCCCTAAGGTGATTGAGGGCTGGGCTTACAGCAATGTGGCTTTCCAGGGTGACCTAGAGGAAAGGTGTGGGCCCAGTGGGCAGTGCATTGTGAGAAGGGAAGACATTAACCCCTAGCAGAGTGATAGGTACTCAGTACCAGCAAGTGCAGTCACACCCTATTTCAAACACAGGACTGCAGGCCTCTTGACTACAGGTCTTGGGCCAAGTGACTGCTACCAAGTGTCACTGTGCAGGCAGGGGAGTTTCAGTGTCTTCCCTGAGAAATTGACCAAGGCCAAGGCATACTTGGACTGAGGTCTCCTGCAGGAACTATGGCTAGCTAGCTCACACCAGCACATGCTGACCTTGCATCAAGGTGACCTGAACTTCACTGATGAGGAGAACAGGGAGGGCAGACGTTGCGTGAACTGGCCATTTGTTCGCACACTCCCTGCCAGCCGCTTTCCCATGGAAAACAGACCCACTTCACCCTTACTCCCCATCACGCAAGGGCTGAACCACGGTTCCTGAAGCAGCCACGCGGACCTGCTGGCCTTTCCTTGTTTGGGGGCACCTTTTGCCTGTACAGGGACTGTGAGTGCCCTTTCCCAGGAATGCCCTTCCTCCACCTGCCTCTCTGTCTGATGAACTCCTGTCATCTGACAAAACTGGCTCCAAAGCCTCCTTCCCCTGCGAAGCTTCCCAGTTTCCTCCTTCGATGCGTTCTCTCAGGGCTCTCTTCCGTTTCTTTGCTGGAGAGAGAGCACTTACGTAACCCACTGCACTGAGAGCTTCATGCCCCGAGGCCCCAGCCCCACATGAGGCTCTGAACTCAGTCCCTGCCACCTTCCTGATCCAGCCTGGGCCTCCTGAATGCTTGCAGCCGAGCCTGGGTCTGGACTTTTCAGGACTGCTGGGAGGCAGCGCCATGTCGCTAGGGCTCTGAGCTCCCTTTCAGCTCCAGGTGGCCTCCCCAGGTCGGGACCCACACACTACCACCTGTGGTCTTGTCCCAGACTTACTCCGCCTTTCCTGGCTCCTCTCTGAGGCACTGATTCCTCCTTCACCCGCCAGACTCCTCCGCTGACTGCTCCCCAGCTCAGCACTGGCCTGGCTTGCAGAGCCAGCCTCTCCGTTCTGATTGCCAGCAAGTGGGCCAGGCCGCCTTCTCGAGATGTAGGGGCTGGTTTGCCCTGCCTCCTCCAGTGTGTGTTGGAGGAGACATCTCAGCCAGGCCTGGGGCTGGGGTGAGGTGGGGAGAAGGCCCAGGAGTGGTGGGGGATGAAGCTGGGGGGACCAAAGGACCAGCCAGCTGTCCACGGCAGTGGTTCTTAATGATGAGGGTGTAGGGTGAGACATTTGGCAAGGTCCAGAGACATCTCTGGTTGTCACAACTGGCAAGGGAAGGAGTCCCCAGGTATCTAGAGGCTGAGGGCGCTGCTTGCCAGCCTACAATGGCCAGACAGCCCCTCAACAAAAAATACCTGATCCAAAGTGTCAGCAGTGCTGAGGCAGAGGAACCCTGCTTCAATGAGAAGAGGTGGGGCCGGCTGGGATGGGGGCCTTATGTTTGAGAGGTGGGCTCAAGTGGGCTTCCCTGATTTGAGTGAGTGGCTATCCTCAGTGCACCTCTGCAGCCTCTCTGCTCCTACTGGGCTCCTCCATGGAGCCACAGATCCCCAGACTGTCCCGGGTCTCACTGCTCACAGAAGAGCCTAGAGTGAAAAGTGATACAGGGCTCCCGTGTCTGCCTGAACTGTGTGGGTGTGGGTTGGAGTGGCCGGGAGAGGAACTTCGGGCAGGTAAACACAGGGCAGGGGCCTCTGGGAGGTAAGAGGCTACTAGAGGACGTGGGCTGATTCTTGTGAAGGGTGACTAATACTCACTACCATGAGTCAGCCGAGGCCGGGAAACGTCCTCATCCTCTTCCCGGGACAATGACCCAACCCTGGGGAAAGCCTCATCAGGGCTCCCTATCCCTGAAATGGGTTCAGCTGCCTGAAAGGAAGCTCCCTGAGACTCTTGCAAAACGCTGTCTACCCTATTCTCCCAGCCCTGCAGGGAGCTCCCCAGCCTGGCAGTGGCCCGAACCCCCACTGCCCTCCTCAGCCCTGCCGGGCTAGAAGAGGGGCCCAAGGAAACAGGAAATGGGGGCCAATGGGGCAAGGAGGAGTGAGTTTCTCTGGTGCCAGGGCTGTGAGTCAGGCCTACCTCCAGGGGCCCTGGGCTATGAGGGGCTGCAGGAGGTGGGTGGGCAAACCAATAACCAGAGGTGCTTTTCCTCTCTCTGGTTCTTTGTTCCCTAGAGAGCCCTTTGTTCGAATTGACTTGGACTCCCAGGAATGTGCTGGCTCACCCGGAGTAGAGCACCTGGCTGGGCTTGTGGCTTCCATCTCGGAAGGAAGTCTGGATGCACTGGGGTCCCTTCTTGGCTCTCCCATTGCTCTGTTCAGCAGCAGGTACCCCTTAAGGGAGGTGATATTATCTTCTTAGGAGACAGGAGGAGTCTGAAGTTCAGGAAAGTTAAATAACTCACAGTGAAGGGGAGCTGGGGCTTGAACCCCGGTCTCTGCCTCCATGCCCCTTGCCTGGCCTTCCTTCTGCTCTTCAGTGGCTCTCACTTGCAGATAGTTCTCTTTGCTTGAAGGGCTCTCCTCTGCTCCAGAAAAAACCTGTGATGCTCTTGGTCCTCTCTTGACCCCCTTCTCATGGGGACCTAAGCTTAACAGCAAGCAGAACTGTTTCCCAGGGCCGGGGGGACACCCAGCTCCGTTGTAAGCGGCCTTCTTCCCTGCAGAGGAGATCATCTAGTTGCTTGAAGTGTTACTGATACATCACTATCCAAGGACCCTGGGGCATCAAAGTATGAACTCCCAACCCAGGCTGACTCAGGCAGGGATTCCCAAAGTACTGGGCACCTGAGTGGTACCCACAGAGACTGAGGCTGGGATAGCCTGTTCCAGTGTTGGCTGCCACTTGCTCCCTAGCAGGTGGCTCCTAGAAGCGGCAGCACTACAGTGGGGGCTAAGGTCTCAGTGGCTGCTTCTAGCTGCTCAGGTGGCCTTGGCCCCTGCCTGAGTGGGGGGGGGGGGTGACAAATGTGGGGAAGAAGCTGTGTTCACACATTGTCTTGACAGCAGCAAACATCAAAAGGGATCTCGATCCTTAAAGAATGATAACAACCCAAGTTTATTGGGTCTTTATTCCCTTCATTTATAGTAAGTTTATGTTTAAGTATATGTATTTATTTACACATATATTGACTCATTTAATCCCTACCACACCCCAAAGAAGAGGTGCTTTGATGATGCCTGTCTTATAGATGCTAAACTGAGGCTCAGAGAGGGTAAATAAGTTGCCCTAGTAGTAGTGGGTTCTGGCACTCTGAACTCAAGCCTGGGCAGCTGGTTCCCAGGTCTACTCTCTGGTCGCTACACTATATTGCCTGGGTAAGAACACTTTTGGGAAGGTCATACGGGTTCCCCTCGATGTCCTTCATGAGGCCTCTATTCTTTAGAGACTTGAAGAATGATCCAAGCTGACAAGGGGTGGTGTGGGGCCAAAGACAGGGCCTTCCAGGCAGAGGTAACAGTGTCGGCAAAGGCTTCAAGCCTGATCGTGCTAGACAAAAGCAGAGAACTATCAGCACATCAGTATTCCTAGGGGGCAGGTGTGACAGAAGATGAGCTGGCGAGGTTTGCATCATAAGGGCCTGCAAGGCCATGCTAGGGCCCTGAGCTTTGTCCAGCCTCTGCCTCCTGGCCTAAAAGACCAAAGAAAGTTTCAACATATGAATTTTGTGGGGATACAGTCAGAGAATAGCAGATAGTCTCTCTAAAAAGTAATGCTAGAGCATGTAGACATCCATGCAAAAAAAGAAAAGAAAAAAGAGAGAGAGAGGAGAGAGGAAAAAAGAATGTTGACTTATAACTCAAAAGGATCATAGACCTAAATGCAAAATGTTAAAATGTAAAATACAGAAACATAAGTGAAAGTACAAAAGAAAAAGGGTAAAAGCATAAAAGAAGAAAATAGGAGAAAATCTTTTTGATTTGGGTTAGGCAAAGATTTCTTGGATAGGACATTAAAAACACAATCCAGAAAAGAAAAAATTATCAATTAGATTTCATTGAAATTAAAACCTTCTGTTTTTAGAAAGGCACTGATAAAATAAGAAGGCAAATCTATGCAGGCTGGGAGAAATATTGCAAAATCTGTATCTGACAGAGGACTTGTATCTAGAATATGTTGAAAATTCTCAAAACTCAAGAAGAAAACAATCCAGTTTTTAAAAATGTTCAAAATATTTGAACATATACTTCACCAGAAAAGAAATATGAATAGCAAATACACAAATGAAAGGTGTTTAATGTAACTAATCACTAAATTTAAATCATAATGAGAAACCACTGTTATTATTTTGGAATGGGTAAAATAAAAAAACACTCAAAACAAAAACCTGACAATATTAAGTCCTGGGGCCGGGATGTGGAGCAGCTGGAACTCAGACAATACTGGTGAGAATGCAAAAAAGCCACGTTGAAAAACAATTTGGCAGTCTGATATAAAGTTAAGCATATACTTATTCTATAAGTCAGCAATATCACTTGTAGATATCTACCTGGAGAAATAAAAATGCCTGTCCACACAAAAACCTGTACACAAATATGTATAGTGGCTTTATTCATGATGGCTCAGAACTGGGAACAACTCAAATGTCCTTCAATTACTGAATGAATAAACTGTTATACATCTATGTATTGTAACCCTATTCATCAATGAAAATGAACAGCCTTTTCTTTTTTCGAGACAGAGTCTCACTCTGTCGCCCAGGCTGGAGGGCAGTGGTGCTATCTCGGCTCACTACAATCTCCATCTCCCTGGTTCAAGCAATTCCCCTGCCTCAGCCTCCCGAGTAGCTAGAATTACAGGCGCACGCCACCATCTCTGGCTAATTTTTTTTGTATTTTTAGTAGAGACAGAGTTTCACCATGTTGGCCAGACTGGTCTCGAACTCCCGACCTCAGGAATCGGCCCACTGCCGCCTCCCAAAGTGTGGGGATTACAGGCATGAGCTAGCCAATAATGAGCTTTTTTTTTTCTTCAGCTTTTAAGTTCAGGAGCACATGTGCAGGATGTACAGGTTTGTTGCATAGGTAAACATGTGCCATAGTGGTTGCTGCACAGATTATCCCGTCACCTAGATATTAAGCCCAGCATCTATTAGCTATTCTTCCTGATGTTCTCCCTCCCCCAACTCCACCTCTGATGCCAGTGTGTGTTGTTCCCCTCAATGTGTCCGTGTGTTCTCATTGTTAGCTCCCACTTATAAGTGAGAACATGTGGTGTTAGGATTTCTGTTCCTGCATTCGTTTGCTGAGGATAATAGCTTCCAACTTCATCCATGTCCCTGCAGAGGATGTTATCTCATTCCTTTTTATGGCTGCATAGTATTCCACGGTGTATATGTACTACATTTTCTTTATCCAATCTATCACTGATGGGCATTTACGTTAATTCCATGTCTTTGCTATTGTGAATAGTGCTGCAATCAACATACGTGTGCATGTGTCTTTACCATGGAATAATTTATATTCCTTTTGGTATATACCCAGTAATGGGATTGCTGGGTCAAATGGTATTTCTGCCTCTAGGTCTCTGAGGAATCACCACACTGTCTTTCACAATGGTTGAACGAATTTACACTCCCACCAACAGTGTAAAAGCTTTCCTTTTCCTTCACAACCTTGTCAGAAGCTGTTGTTTTTGACTTTTTAATCGCTGTTTCGACGGGCATGAGATGGTATCTCATTGTGGTTTTTATTTGCATTTCTCTAATTATCAGTGATGTTGAGCTTTTTTTCATATGCTTGTTGGCTGCATGTATGTCTTCTTTTGAGAAGTGTCTCTTCATGTCCTTTGCTCACTGTTTAACGGGGTTGATAAACTTCTAATACATCTAGCATGGACAAATCTCAAGTGCCTTTGGCTAAATGAAAGAAGGCAGATTCCATGCTATGCACCTTATGATTCCATTTACATAGCCTCTTGGAAAAGGCAAAACTAAAGGGACAAAAACCTGATGAGCAGTTTTTAATGTCTGGGGCTGGAGGAAGGGGTTGA